GTCCATGTTGTAGGCTTTGATCGCCCAATAAGCTTTGTGTTCTAACTATACTGGAAGACGGCATGGTTTCCCATAAACTAACCAAAATGGGGACATTCTAATAGGAGTCTTATAAGCAGTCCTATAAGCCCACAATGCATCGTTTAAGCGCATGCTCCAATGCTTCCTACTGAGACTCACAATTTTCTCCAAAATTTGCTTCACCTCACGGTTTGATACTTCTGCTTGACCACTAGTTTGCGGATGATAAGGTGTAGACACCTTATGTGTGACATTTGATGTGAAAATTATGTTGACACACAAATTAAACCCTATTTGTGACAATTGTAGTAATGATGTAAGTAGGGATCGTTCTAACCGGGGATTAACTAGGGGTGCTAATCTAATATAAATTGATTTAAAAACACAAAAACTAAACTTAAAGACTCTAACAAGACTACTATGACTCAAAACAGATTTGAAACACTCAAAACTGCCTAAAACAATCAAATTGACTCAAAAAGAAACTAGAACTTGATTTGGACGAATTTGAAAGTGTTTATGACTCCAAATGCTTACAAACACAAAATAAAACATATTTGAATGACTAAGACTCAACAAAATATGGGGGGATTGTGTTTGGACGAAATTAAATTAAATGGGCAAATTGTAAAGAAAACAGATTGTAAGACAAAATTGTGATGAATCAATGGATGATGGAATAGCTAAGGGGTTCTTCTCCACACATGAAATATATGCAACGTAAATCAATTTCCAGTTATCAATTTAATAAGTTATGAACCTCGACACTCCAAGTTAATTAGGTCCGCTTAAATTAACCTTCAGATTTCCCTAGAATCATTGAATTGGATGAATATGCATCGCAAACAAATTATTCCTAACAAGTTCTCTATATGAACAACATGATAAAGACACAAGTTAGAATCATTACGTTCTTTCGAAATCATAAGCATCGACAAGGCATTTGTAACTATGAAAAGCATGATACTCTTGCCAAGAATCTACTTAACACGATCGTGACTAGCGACCTTCACTACTTGCGAATATGAATTCATAACGATTAGGTGAAACAAACTTATATCCTAGCACCAAATCCAAGCATGCAAATTAAGCATGCACTCTCAATCAACATACAAGAATAAGTTCTAAATCAAACGGTTAAGCAAATTGTATTCACAACTTATGCAACGATAGCTGGAAGTAATCAACTTATTTCACATATATAATCATGGTTTTGAATACACCCTTAGCCAAAACGAATTTAGCCAATCATACTTAAAGAAAAACAAAGATTACATGAATTAGACATTGAAATATAAGATAGAATACACATAAAATTGTTCAACAACTCAGAATGAAGAGCCAAACAATTGAGTGAATCTGTCCCTTTTCCTTGCTTGCGGCAGATTGGGTGTTGATGGTTTCTGGGCTGTTTTGATGATGTAGACTAGATTTTGGGGGGTGTAGAGGCACGGAAAGGGGTGTAGGGTGAGTGTGGAAGAGTGTTTGATGGTTGGAAGGTGGTGGAGAACTCGGCAAAGAGGGTGGAAGAAGGTGGAGCGGCTGCTTGTATTTTCTGGGCGCTAGAATGGTGTTTTTGGGGTGTTTTGCTGCCTAGGGTGTGTATGGACGAATTTCTGTGATGAATGATGAATATGGGAGGTGGTACTCGTGACTTAGAGTGAAAACACATATATATAGGCACCACAAACCTTAGAGAAATCAGGTTAGGCAATGGGCTAGGGTTTAGGTGCGGCAATGGGTGAAAATCCACAAGGAAATGGCCTAACAAGTCAGAATCCAAGAGGGATTGGTCTAGGAAGGTGCGGCCCAAGTCTAAGAGGATGAGGATAGGTCATCTAAAAGCCCAAAGCCAAGAATAGAAACTCTCAAAAATGGAAACCTCCAAGAATAGAAACTTCCAACTTTAGAAACTTTGGTTTCCACTTCTGCATTCTTTGTTCTTCACTTTCATTTCTTCATCTCTTAGGCTCCTTTGACCTTCAAACTCGTCCATTCCTTGTGCTCCATATGCATACACTCCATTCCAGCTCAATTTTGCTCTAAAATGCTCCAATTTGCATCATTTTATGTAATATGCCCTTAAAACCTGAAAACACATGAAACTAGTTTAAAAGACTACTTTAAACTCAGAAAACATAATGAAAATGCATAAGAACTAGCTAACTAAGGTGCATAAATATGCTCCTATCAACATTGTACTTCCTAAGCAACACTTCAAATGTTCGATTGAAAAGTGACTCCCTCCATCGCTGATGATTGCTCTAGGTGTCCAAATCTTGCAAAGATGTTAGTCTTAATAAAATCTGAAACAACTTTTGAATCATTAGTTTTGGTGGCTTTCGCTTCTACCCATTTAGAAACATAATCCATAGCCAATAAAATGTAAAGAAAACCATTTGAAGATGGAAAAGGTCCCATGAAATCAATGCCCCACACATCAAAGATCTCAACAACCAAAATAAGGGTTTGTGGCAATTGGTTTCTTAGGCCCAAGTTACCTGTTCGTTGACAACGAACACATGTTGCACAAAACTCGTACGCATCCTTAAACAAACTAGGCCAATAAAAACCACTCTCTAACACCTTAAGAGTTGTCCTCTTTGCTCCAAAATGGCCACCACATGCATAAGAATGACAAAAAGTTAGAATAGATTTAAACTCAGATTCGGGGACACACCTTCTAATCAATTGATCAGTGCAATATTTCCACAAATAAGGATCATCTCACTCGTAGTATTTGGCGGTTTTGACAAGCTTATCTTTTTGAGCACGTGTAAAATCATCCGGAATCCTTTTGATGACCTTGTAATTGATAATATCTGCATACCAAGGGTCAGTAATCTTTAATGAAAACAGTTGCTCATCTGGAAAACTTTCACGTAAAGGGATGAGATCTTCCTCTGTGTTTGAATGCACAAGTCGGCTAAGATGATGTACTACAACATTCTCACTCCCTTTTTTATCCTTGATCTCCAAGTCAAACTCTTGAAGCAGAAGTATCCATCGAATGAGTCGCGGTTTTACATCTTTTTTGTGAGTAGATACTTCAAAGCTGCATAATCAGAAAACACAATAACTTTAGTCTCAATCAGATAAGATTTAAATTTTTCTAAAGCAAATACAACAGCTAGAAGCTCATTCTCTGTTGTTGAATAATTCAACTGTGCATCATTGAGTGTTCGAGATGCATAATAAATGACATATGGCACTTTGTTGACACGCTGCCCTAGAACTGCACCAATAGCATAGTCTGAAGTATCGCACATCAACTCAAAAGGTAAACTCCAATCTGGTGGCATGATCACATGAGCCGTGGATAACAACTCCTTAAACTTGTTGAATGCTACCACACACTCTTCATTCATATCAAATGTTACATCCTTTTAAAGTAAACGGCACAAGGGTCTAGAAATCATTGAGAAGTCCTTCATAAACCTACGGTAGAAACCTGCATGTCCAAGAAAAGAACGAACCTCCCTGACAGTAGTAGGGATGGGTAAAGAACTAACAAGTTCTACTTTAGATTTATCAACTTCAATTCCCTTTCCAGATATGATATGCCCTAGAACTAATCCATGCGAAACCATGAAATGGCATTTTTCCCAATTTAACACCAGATTAGTTTCTTGACAACGTTTTAAAACTAGGGACAGATTATGTAGACATGTATCAAAAGAATCACCATAAACTGAAAAATCATCCATGAACACTTCAATTATTTTCTCAATCATATCAGAAAATATACTTACCATACACCTTTGAAATGTGGTGGGAGCGTTGCAAAGTCCAAACGGCATCCTCCGGTATGCAAATGTGCCAAATGGACATGTGAAAGTCGTCTTTTCTTGATCCTCCGGAGCAACTGCAATCTGATTATATCCAGAATAGCCATCAAGAAAGCAATAATGAGAATGACCAGCTAACCTTTCTAACATTTGATCTATGAATGGGACTGGAAAGTGATCCTTGCGTGTGGTGTTATTTATCTTCCGATAATCTGTACAGACTCGCCAACTATTTTGCACACGTGTAGGCACTAGCTCACTAGCTTCATTCTTAACAACTGTGACTCCGGATCGCTTCGGAACTACTTGAATAGGGCTCACCCACTTGCTGTCCGAAATAGGATATATGATGCCAACATCAAGAAGTTTGATAACCTCTTTCTTGACAACTTCCATCATAAGTGGGTTCAAACGGCGTTGAGCTTCCCTTGTTGGTTTTGCACTTTCCTCCAACATAATCCTATGCATACATGTAGCTGGATTTATACCTTTGATATCTGCAATGCTCCAAGCTATGGCAGTTTTATGATCCTTCAGTACCCGGATCAGTTTCTCCCCCTCTTCTGCTATGAGTTGTGATGATATGATAACCGGTAATGTTTCATCCTCTCCCAAAAATGCATACTTCAGATGTTCAGGAATCGGTTTAAGCTCCAATTTAGGTGCCTGAATCACAGAAGGAAGAGTTTTTTCATTAGAAGTAGGAAGAGAAATAAAATAGGAAGAACGCTTACCACGAATTGGTGAAAGAGACTCAAGAGAGGCCACTGTTTGGATTAATTCTTCTTCAATGTGCTCTGAATAATTAAAATCTCCATGTGTAATGCTATGCACTAATGCCTTCTCTAAAGTATCTTGTCCCACACCTTCATTAAAACAATCCTGCACAAAATAGTCAAACACATCAAAAGACAAACAAGATTCTAATTCACTAGGATACCTCATAGCATTGAAGATTCTGAACTTGACGCTTTCCCCATCAATTTCCATGGTTAAGGTACCATCGTAGACATCAATCTTCGTACGTGCCGTTCTAAGGAATGGTTTTCCCAATATAAGAGGAAGTGCAGTAGGCATAGGGTCGTGTTCCATCTCAAGAACAAAAAAGTTAGCGGGAAAAATGAGCTCATTCACTTGCACAAGTACATCCTCTAATAGGCCTTTGGGATATCTATTTGAACGATCTGCCAACTAGATTACTACCTTTGTTTCCTTCAAGTCTCCAAGGTTCAATGACTCATACACTGAATATGGCATCAAATTGATGGATGCCCCCAAATCACACAATGCTCTCCCAAACTCTTTCCCTCTGATTACACATGGAATGGTAAAGCTACCGGCATCTTTCAACTTCGGTGGCAGCTTTCTCTGCAAAACAGCTGATACTTCCTCGCTCAATGCCATAGTTTCTTGATCATTGAATCTCCTCTTGTTTGTACAAAGCTCTTTAAGGAACTTTGCATACTTGGGAACTTGTTTTATGGCATCTAAAAGAGGTAAGTTCACTTGGACTTTCCGGAAAGTATCCAAGATTTCCTTATCAGTTTGCTCTTTCTTAGACTTCATAAACCTACGAGGAAAATGAACAGGGACACATGAGTTAAATGAATTTTGAACTTCTTTACTTACCTTATCAGAATCTTTTTTGTTCAATTCTGTATCTTTAGGAGACTTTTCAGTTTCTGTTGAAGCTTCATCTTGCTCAAGATTCTTGGTTTGTAGCTCCCCTTGTTCAATTGTGTCTTTTCTAGTCCTCTTTTGCATCCTCGACTGCTCAAAAACTTCTTTTCCACTCCTTAAAGTCACAACATTCATCTGCTCCGCATTTGGATTCACCACGGTTTGGCTAGGCAACCTTCCTGGTTGGTGTTGTTGCCCCATCAAACTTGCTAACTGACTCATTTGGCGCTCAAGGTTTTTAATTGCTTTGTCTGTTTTCTGTTGATGAGATTGAGTAGAGTTAGCTAGAGAAGCAATTAAATCCTCAAGAGACTTACTTGGAGCTTGTTGTTGTTGAGGCTGAAATGGTGTCTGCGGTATTGCTTGAAAGAAGCCAGGTGGACGGTTATAGTTGTTGGGAACAGATTGTTGTCCATTGTCTTGATTGTTCCACTTTAAGTGTGGATGATCGCGCCATCCTGCGTTATAGTTGTTGGAATATGGATCATACTTTTGCCTTTGTTGCCCTTGAAATCCTCCTAACGCATTAGCTTGCTCAAGACCACCTTGATCTATTAACGAGGGGCACATGTCCGTGGCATGTCCCATCATTGAACATACACCGCACACCTGTTTTGGAGCCACCATAACCTGTTGCACAAGATTAGTCAAGTTAGCTAATTGTAATTCAATACTAGAGTTAGCACTTACCTCGTTAACTTTCTTAAGAGGTAGCTCATCTCTCCCTCCAAATTGTCGTGTGTTGCCAGCAATGTTCTTTAGCAATGCCTTAACATTAGTTGGTGTCTTGTCCATGAATGCTCCTCCACTTGCTGCATCAAGCATTACACGATCAGTACCACACAATCCTTCATAAAAATATTGTATTAAAAGATGCTCTGAAATTTGATGATTAGGACAAGATGCAACCAAATGTGTGAATCGCTCATAATAATCTCCAAAGGGTTCTCCATGTTGTTGTCAGATTGCACATATATCCTTCCTTATGCTTGCAGCTTTTGTGGCCGGAAAATATTGCTCCAAAAATGCTTGCTTCACCTGGTTCCATGTGTTCATTGATCCCGGAGGTAAATTGTATAGCTACTCATTTGCCTTGGCTTCTAATGTAAATGGGAATGCCCTCAACTTGACTTGCTCCTCATCCACATTTGCTGGTCTCATTCCCAAGCATACCACGTGAAACTCCATGAGATGCTTGTTGGTATCCTCTGTTGAGAAGCCATGGAACTTAGGCAAGTAGTGAATCATGCCGGACTTGAGCTTAAATCCTCCGTCTGCATTTGGATAGGTGATGCACAATGGTTGTTGATCCGTATTCGGCGTTGCCAACTCCCTCAAAGTACGGCTATCAGCCATGCCTTCTTGTGGTTCTTCCTCCTCTCCAGAACTCAAATGTAGTGCAGAAGATGGTGGTAAGGACACTGATGCACGCTTCGGCTTGATTTTTCTCTAAAGCTTTCGAAGTGTTCGTTCAAGCTCAGGATCGTACGAAGCTAGATCAATGCTCTTGGACCTTCGAGTATGCATATACTACGAAGAGTACCTGAAATAAAAACAAAAAGAAAAACACTAATGAGACAAGAAAAGAAAACAATAGAAAAATAAGTAATTAGAAATAACAATCCCCGGCGACACGGCACCAAAAATTTGATAAGATTAAAAGCACACCACAAAGTAGCACACAAATGTCCTATTGATTTTCCTTATTAACACTAAGATTTGTCAATTGTAGCATATGAAAATAAGGATCTTTCCCGCAGAAGATTGTTTTATCTAACTACCTAAAATGTCACAAAAACTGGGTTGCTGTCCCTACTGATCAGCCACCGAAAACTAATTATTAGACCGACTTATACTTATCTAAAGTCTACGAAATTTTATATGAAGATACTAGACACACAAAGCTACACTCAAACAAATTTTTGGGATTTTTGGAGTTGATTTTCTATTTAAATTAAATCGAACAAAAACAGACAAATTTTAAGTAGTTCACAAATTAAGAAAAACGAGTTAGGGGTATTGCTATCCACCACCAAATAATCATGCAAACATATAGTTCACAAATTAAGAAAAACGAGTTAGGGGTATTGCTATCCACCACCAAATAATCATGCAAACATGTTATGTTTCATTCAAATTTCTTTTATTTCCGAATGAAGATGCTCAAGTTGGCTCAATGTTAGAACTCAACCTATTACTCTTTCTTACGTAGTATGTTAAGAGAATGGCGTTTTCAACTTAACTTAGTCCCTAGCATGCAATCTAGAATGGCGTGTTCATAGATTTAACAAGTAGAAATCATTAAGAACGAAAAGAGTTTGAGTCATCACAAGGCATCGTAAGTACTGGCGTTGTCTTACTTATCCTAGAAATTGGTTGACATGTTAATCGCAATTAACAAGTACTACTTTAGAACATATGTAGGTCCTCATTCGACAAGGGCAGGCACACACATATTCATAGCATTAGAATCCTAGATATGCTTACTATGTACGCATCCATAGAAAACAAATAAAGAATTCATCAATGAGACAAGTAGTGAACCAAGTTTCATCCATTCATAAAAGTAATTCAACGAAATGTCATAACAAAATTGCAATCATATTCGGGGCTTCAAAACAGCCCCTAACTTCTAAAAAATTAGTTACACATAGTTCTCAAAATAAACCAAAAGAAATACATGAGTTTGAGAAGATAAAACCGAGAGAAGAGAATGTCAAGATTTCCTCCTTCCTTTCCTTCCTTTCTCAACGCAGCAGCCTTGGCTGCTAGTTTTATTGGATTTATTGCCTTCAATGCAGTTACAAACTGCTCAGCATCTTAGAAACCTTTGAGTGTTAAAACGGCCTTAACTTCTTCTAGAAAAAAGATATTAACAATCCGCAAATGTTCCAGAAAATAGACATCCGTAGCTTTCCAAGCATATAAGGCTCATTCTCTAATTCATTCTGAGCTGTTCGCAACTTGCTTCCAAAGTCAGCTGACCTGCACAGGCAATTTTGACGAATTTGTTACTTAAAATCCCACTTGTGCTATTTTTCTTTTATTTGCTTGACAAATCCTACAAAACACAAAAACAAAGTAAATAGCTTAAAAATATAAGGAACTAACTAAGAAAAGATAAGTGAATTTGATGTAAAATATATATAAATATGAGCTTATCAGTAAAACACACAAGTCATCCTCACATCTTTATATCTAGCAATGAATAAACAACTTTTATATAATCCACCCTTTTCTATATACAAATGGTTGAATTTTCACTCACCCAAACTTTGCCCAAGAAGAGAACAATATACAATAAAAAGTTATCCCTAAACACAACTTTACAATTTACAAACAAGAAAAGAAAATAGACTCATGTATGTAAGTTATCAATATATTAACATATTAGTCAAGATTCCAAAAATATCTCAATCTGTATACCAGAAAAAGAATAAGAAATTCAAATCATGCATATCAGGGCTCCAGGCCACCCAAGTTTTAGTGATTTATCTGAGTTTTATAAGGTTAAGTTGCCCACACGCGTGGGAGATAGACAACATCTTTTTCTTTCTCGTGAGAAAAGAAAAATAAGAGAAAAATTTTAATGCAAAGAAGCAAGAACTTGTGAGAGAGATTGCAACCTACCCAGCATAGTAGCATACAGTTGGTCGCCGGGCGTGGATCCGTGTTTGCCGGAGTTGGCTAGGTGAGAAACTTGAAACGCTGTTGGGTTTGAGTATTTATTTATAATTTTAATGTTTAAAATTATTTTTAAAATTTGAAATCAAAAGCAAATGATGCTTGTACAGATTTGGTGATGAACCCTAATAACAGCAAGAGGAAGTTAGGTAAAGAGTAGAAAAACGTCACTTTCAAGTTTCGTGCAATCCGGACATAAAACGGAGATGTATCTTCACCTGCATCATTGGAAAATTGTAGAATTATAGAGAGTTGGGTCAAATACTCACTTCCAACAATACCGATATTGTCTCCAACTTGTTAATTACCTGCGCAATCCGTCAAGTGTGGGTTTTATCAAAAAAAATCTCGATATTAATTGGAGTAGGGCTATGATATCTAAACTCTTGTTTCCTCAAAGATACGAATGATGTGGCATATTTCAACAAGATAACCCCTTCTCAAAGATAATCACCGATTAATTTGTCGAATATTCCTTGCCCTGTAACTGCTTCATGGCATTATAGTATCTAACCAAATTCATCAGCATCAACACACAGATCACTAGACATGTCTTGTATCACAAGGGAGCGCTAGCTGAAGCAAATCCTTGTAATTCGAAAGTTTCCGCGAACCCAATTGCAGGCCGTAACGAAGTTTCTCGAGAGAATTTGTAAGCCATATCGAAATACAAATCACACAGAAAAAGATCATGAGACTTAAAATATCTCAATGCTATTATTTCTCACAACGGAACTTATACATAGAAATTCTTTCAAACGACAGATATCCATATACATGAAATTCTTTCAAACAACAGATATCCATATACATTTTAGTTTTCCAATTGCCCTCCAATGCCCCGCAGGAAACCGTACTAATCACACTTCATATGGGGGAAGCATGAATGGTAAAGTATCAACGAGCATGAGCCGAGCCAAGGTTCCGGAAATGAGCCTACTCGACTAACCTGAGCATAGGGAATGAAAAACACGATGACTAATATGACCAAATACCACATAACATGCCCAATAGATCAAAAATTCGAAAAAGAAAAAGGAACATTAATGATAAGGGAGGCAGAAAAATAACACGATAAATTGACCAGCATATCGATTAATGTTTCCTTCCTATAAACCCAGTCCCTGACCAGATTGTGGTTGAGCTCTGCTAGACAACGGTCTCCACCGGATACCCGCGAATGCAATCTTCCCATGGACTATGAGGAGAAGGTTTTACACTCTGAAGAGCCTCCCACACTGCACTGTTACACTTGAAACCGCTACCAAAAGCAATCTGCCAGACACGGTTCCCCTTTTGCATCCTCCCCTTTGCCTCTGTATAAGCCAACTCATACCAAATCGAACTAGACGAGGTGTTACCGAACCTGTGGAGTGTCATCCGAGACGCTTCAACATGAACTGGTAAAAGCTGCAAATTCTTCTCAAGCTCATCAATCACGGCCCTTCCTCCCGCGTGTATGCAAAAATGGTCAAAAGCAAGCTTGAAATCTGGTATATAAGGCTTCACTTTTGCGTTGAACAACTTCTTGGCAACCAAAGTAACAAAGAAGAGAAGCTGCTCACTTAAGGGCAGGACAAGCGGACCCAATGTTGTGATGTTAGTCTTAAGAGCCCCACCGGCAATTGCCATGAGATCCTTGGACAAAGAAACCCCAGTTTTCCCGGCATCATCCTGCTCTTGATAAACACACCTAAATGCCTTATCATCAGCGCCACAATGAGTCCTCACAACGTGGACAAGCTTATACTTTGCCCGACGCCAATCCATGGACTTATTCGAAAGCAAAACTGCTGACCCACCGACACGGAACAAACAGTTGGGTATCAACATGGATTTCTTGTTCCCAAAGTACCAATTCTGAGTAATATTCTCAGTACTAACAACAACCGCGTACGTATTCCTATGAATTTGCAACATATCCTTAGCAAGATCAACAGCTATAACTCCAGCACTACACCCCATACCCCCCAAATTAAAACTCCTAATATTCCCCCTCAATTTGTACTTATTAACAATCATAGCAGACAGTGAAGGTGTTGGATTAAACAAACTACAGTTCACAACAAGAATACCAATGTCCTTGGGCTTAACATTCGTATTAGCAAACAGATTGTCCAATGCACCAAAAATCACCTGCT